GACGGTATCATCTAGAGGTTTGCCGCTGCTAATTGACTCTTTGCCCTAAGTGTAGTCAAGACTTTGAGAGGATAAAGGATAGCACATAGGGTCGTAGTTGAGGCAAATAAAAGTCCAGAAAGCAGCTAGCTGTTACCCTGTGAGAGAATTTTAAGCCCAGGAAGGGGCCAGGAGGGAGAGTCTCGGCGATACCTGCCAGCTTCCTTGATGTCTGCACTGGACAACCACATGGAGAAACGGTTTATTCGGATAGCGTGAGAGGAAACAAGAAGCCGAATTTAGTGTCTCGTCTTTTGAAGGCAAATTGTTCGATTAATGTGAGATTCACTGACCGCTAATAATATCGCCTTTGAAAAGCAAGAAAAGGACAGCAGATAATGCGACCTCAAAGAGAACGAAAACTTTGAGTCCTTTTAGCCCCCTTCTTGTGCTTGTTTTCGAGATGTCCACAGAAGTGAGCCGAGAGTGAGACAAAAGGGAAAAAGAAGGCCTTCAAAATGAAAAGAGAACCCTAGAGTTTGCACTACTTCAAAGTCGCCCCGGTAACAAAGTCGGCAGCGCAATCCAGCCAACTTTATCCGCAAAATTCATTAAATATTAACGCAATAGAGAGAAACAGAAACAAAAAAAGCGAAGGAAGTACCAACTGTGCGACACTGTAACTTACCTCTTCCATAACCTTCTACCTCCTTATACGTCCCATGAGTTTTTCAAACCTAAAAGAGAAAATAATGCAAAGTTAAGCCACCTTCCCCTTCCTCGCAAATTAAATAAACCTCAAAAAATTTCTTTTTGCTGTTTGTGTGAGAGGAAGCGAACGAGTCTGTCGAAATTGTAACCACTTTGCAATGTATTTCGAAGTCTCCAGAGGCAAATTTTTCATCATTCTAAAATACTCGCCTTCAAAACGGACTGAATTATAAGGCGAAATGCTGTTTTCCCTTAAACACGGTAATGATAGTTAAAAAATATATTATTCACTTTCTTTATCATTAAAAAAACGAAAATGCTAAATGCTCAAAAATTAATGTGTCTGTTGGGCGAATACACTTTACCAGGACTTCTTTTTCAACTATTTTTAAGTTTCAAGCCTCACAATGCGGTTCTTTACTGGAGATTCGACTGTGTACCGCCTACTCTGCGGGTCAACTAGCGTGTTCTTCCATCGCATTGAGGGGAGAGAGGACACCAATCCGTAAAGAGATTTTTTAAAGTTTTCCTCAGTAAAATCTGTGCTATTTTTTCCGAAATGTACAAAGAAGGATCACCAAACGAGATGAGTAGTGAAATTTGAATTGAAGGTAAGGAGATCTGGCTAACCACTTCGTTCCACAGCCTAATAAGTAGAATATAAGTAGCATTACACCAAAAAGTAGATTTACAAAATTTGGACCATGGAAAGACTATAAGTAGTATAATCCTCTTGAGAAAGGTTGAATCACTACTGAAATGCGTGTCTAGGCAGCATCCTTCAAATCGGTAGTGAAGATGCTTCCTCCAACCATACACAATTGACGACTGCTGTTGGAAAGCAGCAAAAAAATTGCATTGGATTATTTTCTTTTCTGCTGAAGTTTAACAAAACATCAGTAAATGTGATCCGCACCACATGAATGGTTCACAGAGCATCCTGTCCTCTACCAACCTCACACCCAAAATTGCCTCGGTGTCTCGAAAAAGGGGAGGGTGAAGTGGTAATGGAAAAAGGGAGTGGAAGCGTCCAAATGGATCACATTTAATATGCTAAGTTTTGTTCGCCTCAAGAGCGTTTCAACTCCAAGTGTCACTTCTTATCACAGGCCAGTCAGTCAGACACTGGGCAAACACTGCAAATACACGAGGTAAGAGAAGGAAAAAATAACTGCATTCTTCTAGAAGCTCACTGTTCCAGGTTGAGGCATGACGTTTGGACTAACCTACTTGAGCTCTGCAATTCTGCCTTATTCAGTACATTCGTTAAGAAATGACACGAATTTTGGCGAAAAAACAACTCGAGTTTTAAATTACTGTTGAGGAGTGCAGCATTACATTTGCAAAATCACAATCCAATTCACAGAGGAGGATGGAGATATTTGAGGGCTCTTCAAGGTTACGATTGAGTTTTCTTGTTCTTCCCAAGGAAGCCAAACACCTCCAAGGTTGAATAGCTCCCTTAACTATCACAAGGAAGGCCATCGTTGACTTCCGATAAAGGAGTTTTCTTCCGTCCTGGAGATGAGTAAACAGTATCCACAAAAAAGTGGTTTTCGTTTTCTGCACTAAATACCACACATTCCTCGCCAAAGCCTTGGATAGAGGTGGTGACTAAAAGACGGTAAACATGACCTACAATTTAGTAGGTAACCGTTTTCAAGATCGTTTCGCCTCTTGTCAAAGAGAGAGGGACAGAGGAGAAGGGAATATTGCAGATATTTTATAAGCAATGAACATTTGGACACAAAATCTAGGTATAACAACTACTATCACTCAAACGCGTTTACGTGCAGAGATTCAACTCATCAACACCTCCACTTGATAGGTAGAGCCTTCAGACAAGAACATTATTCCCATTTGGCATCGTAAAACAAAGGGGAGGAAGAAGGAGAAGAGGACGATAGTAAGGATGCGACCATTCAGGCGTCTCATCGCTCCACGAGGTATGCCTAAGAAGAAGTCAAATTTCGGTGTGATTCTATAGCTTCTACAGAAGGAGAGAAGGCAGAACCTGAGATGCAACTCATCCAAGTTTGAAGTATTTCAACACAGTAATATTCTCCTTAAAGAGAATTAAAAAGAAAACTCGTTGTCGCATAATGGAGAGGAAATTCTTTAACCGCAAACCAGAAACGCAGAGGTCAAATGGACGAATGGATTCTCGAAGCATGCATGCGATTTTCGCACGCATTGAAGTTATGATAGTGTGAAGGCTGATGAAACAGTGGACAGGCAGGTGGCAAACAGCTCATAATCAACGCTGATAAGAAGTGCAAAAATAAAAAGGAGTGCAAAGTGGTTATGAAATAAAAAAAAAAAGATACTGGAGAGGGAAGGGTGAAGTGAAGTTAAGAGCGATGACAATTGGGGAGGTGTACTGCCATTTCTGAGGCGAGTGACGAAGGGAGATAGCGTAGCTTGCGCGATCCGAGGGAAGGGGAAAAGAAGCCAGCAATGCAAGTCTTAGCAGACTGGATTAGTTTGATCGACATAAAATCGAAAACACCGACTAAACAAATACTGAACTTATGTGATAGACGTGCAAAAAGACAAAATGTACAGGAAATTATCGCCATAGAGGAAAAGAGCATTCCAATAAGCCAAGAAGAGAACACTGAAATTCATTAAAATAAATAAATACGGTCACTTTAAACGGACATTTGGTAACTGATTGAAAAGACCTGTCAATATTATCAAAAATTTGACGACTATTTCTAATGACAGTGGAAGGCGATGAAGTGATGAGGCAATTCGCTTGTCCCAACATCATTTGAGGAGCCAAAGACGTGACAGTTGAGTGGATCCACATGCCATGCATTACATCATGACGAGTAGGCTCAACAACCACTACTCTGCTGCTCCTTACCTCTCTCAGTCCCTCCCTGCCTCCCTACCTCCCTCCTTCCTTCCTTCCTTCCTGCCTTCCTTTC